AAAGTGAGGGTGGGCAGCCCACACGGAGTAGGCAGCTGGGTAGAGCATGGGACCAGGCCCCCTGGGGGAGCACAAGGCTTCTCTCTCCTGGCAGCCAAGGGGCTAAGCTGCTCCAGGTGTCATGACTCTCCTCAGGAACAGGAAAAGCAGGGCCAGGAGGTCTGGGATCATCGAGCCTCCCTGAGCCTCAGTTTCTGCATCTGTGAAATGGACAGCTGTGTTCTTGCCCCTTGCTTATGAGGTACAGTGAGGGAAGTATCTGGAGTGAGGTCCCCAGAGAAGGGAGCCTGGGAACAGAGGTGCCCCCACCTCATTCAGGAAGCTCCTGGTTTCCCAGTGGGTGGTGGACTGCCCAGGGCCTTGGTGGAGGAGGTCAAGGAGGCAAAGTGGGAGATCCGGGCAGGTTAGGTTAGAGGTACGGGGAGATCCCAAACCTGATTAGAAGTGGCCGGGGAGGGCAGGTACAAAGGGGACGAGGCAGTTGTGTGACAGGCCTGAACTTGGGTGACCCGTCACAGATCTCTACGCTAGCCGCCCCACGGTGCCGGGATGGAGCAAATATCAGAAGGCGTGAGGCCCTCTCTGTGGAGGTTTGTAATTCAATTAAGCCAATTAAGGTCTGAAAGATGAAAGAGTACCAAAATGGTATGTTCCCTGCACTTTTAGTGCCTACAGACCGTTCTAGGCAGCCAGCCCAGGCCAAAAGGTCTCTGTCAGGCCTGCAGAACTGATAGGCCTGGTCATTTCTGTTCTTGGCCATTCCAGTGATGGCCACTGTCCTTATTCAGAATGAGGGAGGCAATTGCCGAGGCTTACAGAGAGCCCAGAAAAACAATAGTAGATGCCATTTGGTCTCTACAGCAGCCAACAGTCACGCAAGACAGACTGATTTAACTGATGGCTCCTGTCTGCCCTGTTGCCTATAGAGTGAATGAAGATGAAGAAGGTTAGCATGAGCAGTCTTTGACTAGAGGGGCTGCCCAGACCTGGGTGAAGCCCCGGGGGCACACTGAGAGTGACCTGCTGGGGGTGAAGGCATTCCTGCCCTTCATACCTGTGCCCTTCCTCGTGCTCTCCAGGATGGCGATCCCCCATTAAAAAAAAAAAAAAAAAAAAAAACGGCTCCCAGCTCTTCCTTGGCCAGCCAGGCCTCTGTTCACTCACTCCTCCAGACCCCCATCCCCACCCAGGGCTGACCGTGTGGTGGACTACTTGCCAGTTCAATAGCCACGTATCTCAAAAAGCTTGCAACCCCGAGAGTGGGGAAGACATGCTCACAGGTCACTGCAATGCTGAGCAGAGTGGAATAGGGACAGTCGCCAGATTACAGACTCAGCAGCGATCAGTTCTGGCAGAGACTTTGTGCAGAAAGTTCCACTTGAATTGCCACTCAAATTTGTCAGAGGTCATCAGGTGGAGAGAGGACAGAAGGGTGTGCGGGCCAGGGTACGACTGGTGCGCTTGGGGCTGGCCAGGCCGTGCGCTGGGGCAAGGCGCCTGGTGCCGCGGGCGCACCAGTGTGCGGTACCGGCGGAAACAGGACGTGTGGCTTCCCAGAAGCCACTGCAGTTTGGAGGCAGAGAGAGCGGCCGCACCTGAACCAGGGGAAGTGGTGACCCAGAGCAGGGTGGTGACAAGCTGCCCAACTGGACGGAAGCCGATGAGGTGGTAGATGGGGACATGGGGCCTGTTTGGCGGGGGCCGAGGTGGAGGGAGCACACCAATTAGGAGCAGCTCAAGGACCTTGTGTGGCTGTCTGGGCCACTGCTGTTGCTTAATCGAGGGCAGGGCCACACTGGGGGCAGGAGGAGGGAACAGGAGGGGAGGACAGAGCTCACCTTCAGGGGGCCCTGTTTTGTGGGGGTGGGGGGGAGAGGGCTGTGCCTCGGGTGTGAGCAGGTGTATGAAGCTGTCACCTCCACCAGGATGCACTGCTGTCTCCCAGCATCTGCCCCTGAGCCCGCCCAACTCTGGACCATTCACTCTGTCACCCCCTGGAGCCCTCGAATGCCACCTGGGCGGAGTTGGGCACCTTCCAAACGAGCCTTCTCCAAGTGGGTGGTAGAGGCCAAAAAGATAAAAGGTTCCAAAGGAACAAAATCATTCATCTGGCTTCCCTTTTAGAAGGAACCCCGGGGAGTCCCTAGGCAGCTCTGCGGGGGCCATACAGGCACATAGCCGGTCCCTGGGGCCCTGGGACCGAAGTGGAAGGTCTGGAATGCAGGCCAGTGGCCTCCCTGCCAGAGACATCAGAGCCTGGCGTGAGTGCCGGGCCATTCCCCTCAGCCTGGGAGGAGGGGCCCACTGGCTGGGGCTGACATGGCATGGGGACTCTGCTCAGGGACAATTGCCTCACAGTTTTGCTAAATGCCCCCCATGCCCCCCCATCCCCACCTGCACTCACACCTCACACAGCCCATTGGTTGGTCTTCTCTCAGCAGCCCTGTCTGCCTGGGGCCTACTCACAGACGGATCTGTGCCTACTGGGGGGCTGAAACCAATGCTTACACAGACGAACCAGACCCTGTCCCTCCCGCCCAGCGGCCAATGGGCTTAGAGGGCTGGGGACACGGAGCCCAACGCTGCGACTTCCCCCAGGTTGCCACATATGGGGAAGGGAGAGGCATGGTAGCAGAGTGAGAGAAAGGAGGGGAGAAGGTGCGCCCAGCCGGGGCACTGTCCTGAGTAACGGTCTGGAGTGGGGGAAAGAACCTGGCGGGAACAAAGGCATGGGGCGGGGGCAACAGGCAAGGCCATTGCGGCCTCCAGTGCCTCCTGAAATGGCCTCTGTTTCCTGGGCCGGCGAACTGGAGAGTGATTCCCACTGCGCCCACCCAGGTGAGTAGGGTGCTTTCGCAGAGCACCCCAGAAAGAGCCCACTCTGCCTTACACGCCATGAAAATGAAAGCTTCACTTCCTTCAAGTTCTGGGCACTCTGCGGCCCCACACATCCCTGAGCTCAGGGCTGGCCTGCGTCGCCTCTGCCCTCACCCCCACGGACAGGATGGCCCACCGACTGATTGCAGCCCCTCCCTCACGTCCTGGCTTCTGCCCCTCCAGTCTGTCCTCACCCAGCAGCCTTCTGCTTGGTGATGGCCCATGTCACTTGGGGCCCCATGGGATCTGCAGCCCCTCGCTCCCACCAACCTGTCCCGTTACCTGCCTTCTCCCTCATCTCAGAGCACTCTTCCCTCCAGAAGAATGGCTCACTTTTCTCAAATGTGCCCCTTCCAAGAGGCCTTCCCTGACCCCCACCCCCAGTGAAACCACATTCTCCATCAACTCTCTCACCTGCTGGGTACACGTCTCCCAGCCAGAGAGCACAAGAATCCATTCAGTCCCGTCACCTCTCTGTCCCCAGCACGGTCGGCCAGTGCAGACACATAGTAGATGCTCAGTAAGGATTTGTCAGATGGCAAACTGGAAGGACGGGCAGTGGGAAGATGCGTGGGAGTGGAGAGGACAGTGCATTCTCTTGTCTACCATTTTGTTCCCACATCTTCCGGCAGTGAAGGCTGCTCCATGTGGAAAGAGTCTAGAGGATTAACACTTAGGTGCCCAAACTTATAAAATGTGGACCGCTTTGGATGGGCATTTTCTGGAGTGCCTCTCTGCGTCTCAGACTTCATGGGCGGGAACTGCCCTAGGTACGTGTGCTTTTGCTTGACAACACAGGGCCAGCGTCCAGAGGAACTAAGTGTTCTGAGGCCTACGTGTTCTGAGGCCCCTCGGGGCTGTGGGCATAGGGGAATGGCCCTTTTCTCCCAGAGGCCCTGGTCTTGTCCCCTGAGGGCCGTGGCACAGCCCTGCTGCCGAGTCCGCTGGGCTCCAAGGAAGAGGTGGGCGCTCTCCTGAGAGCAAAGGCCACAGGGCTCGGGGCTATTGTGTTCCCATGGACAGTTCTAACCAGAAACCTGGATCAGCGGCCAAGTTCTGCTTCCAAGAAGATCCTTCTGAGCCCAAAGCCTCCCCAAAGGTGAAGGACTGGGCCCAATTGAGCCATGCCATCAGGAAGCCTCTTGCTGCCATGAAGGCCCAGGCCATGTGCACCGAGACTAGTTCAGTCGTGGGAGTTTGACCTTTGGGGGTGCTTCCACTCATGCTCTCAGGATGTGTGTATGTGCTGGGCAGCTCCTGAATCCATCATCTGGAGGGAGAGCGGATGGCACCGTGCTGTGGGGCAGGGTGATGGGGAGTCGCCAGCGACCTGTGGCTGCTTTCTGCTTTCTCCTATGTGCCCCCCGCCACCTCTCCCCTTCTCCTCCCTTTATCCCCTCCTTCCCCCCATTCCCTCTCTCCCTTCCCGCTCCTGCCCTCCTTCTCCCTCCTTACTCCCTCCCTCCAGGCCACCTCCCTTCCTTGCCCCAGCCCCCCAGGTGCCCTCAGGGCAGCAGAGACACCCTGCACACTAAGCCTTGACCTGGCTCCCAGCTGGCCCTGTCCATGGCTTGGCCTGCTCCCCGGACCCCCGTGCAGCCCGAGCCTGAAACCATGAGCCACAGAGGCTGAGCCAGAAGGCCGGTGGGCCGGTCCTAATCAGGCAAGAGCAGGGAGCACGATGGAGTGGACGAGCTTGCACTCAAGGTGGGGCTCGGACATGGGGAGAATTGTGGCACAGAGGACCCACCCACCCGTGCCACCGTTCAACCCCGACACATCGCCTCTGCTTCGGTGTGGGTTCCGAGACAGATTGCTGGTGCTGGCGGCAGCCGATCCCTTCCAGGAGACAGTAACGCTTCCCCCTTCCCCACCTCGGCAAGCCCTCCTGCCTTGGGTGCTCATGCTGGGCAGGACTAGGAGATGGCCTGGCAGGTGGGCCTGGCAGGGCATGAGGGCCACTGACTGGCCCAGGCTCGGAGGTGAGTTTTGCAATCAGCAGCTCATGGCTCAGACTGAGTGCAGATCTGCAGAGAATGTTCTGGAAGAGCGGACCTCGGTTTTGTCTCAACTTTGCCCCTGGCTTCTTCTCACCTCTCCCCAGGTGTCCGTGCTCAGCCACTTCCCCGCCGCAGCTCCCTCCACTACACCTCACCCAGGCACTGGGACCTCGGGTGGCCGCCTGCCCCGAGCCGAGGCTGCACCTGTGAAGAGGTTGGGCACCCTGTCCTCCCGGCACGGCAGGCAGGATGGGCGACATGGCCAACAGCTCCATCGAGTTCCACCCCAAGCCCCAGCAGCAGCGGGAGGCCCCCCACGCGGGCGGCTTTGGGTGCACACTGGCTGAGCTGCGTGCCCTCATGGAGCTCCGAGGAGCTGAGGCGCTGCAGAAGGTCCAGGAAGCCTACGGGGATGTCAGTGGGCTCTGCAGGAGGCTGAAGACCTCGCCCACAGAGGGTAAGGCCACATGTGCTCCAGGGACGTAGGGTCATGGGCCATCTGACAGCCCCCCCAGTCTTCAAGGGGCATCCTGAGGATGTTCCGTCCCCCCCAGGGAAGGCCTGGTCAAGGGCTGGGTGGTGCTGCTGCAGCCGCTTCCTAGAGGCACTCTTGACCCTGACCGTGCTCATGACCATGGTAGCCATCCCACCCCCCGCCCCCCCACCCCCAGCAGGAGATGCTCTGCGTGCGGTGAGGAGGTCATCCTCTGGGTAACCTTGGGTCCTCGAGGAGCTGTGGCCCGATCCCCTCCATAATCAGCAGCTCCCTGCTCTCGCCTCTTCGGATTAAACAGAAATGGAGTGACAGAGAAGGGGAAGGAAGGGGACAGCGCGGTGTCGGCATGCACATGCGGGCTGGGCCGCCGCCTGAAGCCCAAGAAGCTCTTCTGAGCAACCGGGTGGGACAGCCTCCCAGCACAGAGGAGGAGGAAGGCAGGGCCCCTGTCTGTATGTCCCAGGTTCCGTGTGTGCTCAGCCCTATGTCCAGGAAGAGGAGGCAGGTGTGCAGGACACAGGCCCTCGGAGGGCTTGGGTTGCAGGGAGCCTCTCTCTGGAAAGCGAGGGAAGCAGAGTGCTGAGTGGAGGTGCCACTGGCCACAGGCCGTCCCAGAGAAGTACAAGCCCGAGGCAGTATAGATCTGAGGAGAGATGCCGCAGGGAGCCTTAGGGAGGCTGAGGAACGTCCTCTAGAAGGCTCCAGAGGTAGAGGCCCGACTGCCGTCTTGGGTCCCTGCCTCTGCCCTGTAGCCCTTTCGCCCCGCTCTGGAGGCAAAACTCTGCCCTACCCTGCACCTGCCTTCCCCAGTCCTGCCTGCTGGGTCTGCTGGGAGGCTGGGACCACCAGGAGCCAGGCTTGGCCCCAGATTCCAGGAGTTCGAGTGTTTTCTGGCCCAGCTGGCACCTCCCCGGCAGGACCGCGAGGGCCGTCCCAGCCTGGTGCCAGGCCTGTTCTCAGCCAGCGCTGATTGATCTCATCAGCTCGCATCTGAGCTGACACACCTTCATCTACCCAGGGCTCTGGCCATCACCCTTGTCCCCAGCTCCCTGGCCCCATCCATCTGTGGGGGGCACATGGGCTGGAGCAGGGGGTGGAGATGGCCCACCCAGGACGTGGTGGGCCCAAGGGCTGAGTGAGAGGGTGCCCACCCAGCCAGGTCAGGAACTCCAAGCCTAAGTGGCCTTCCCAGGGTTACCTGGGTCTCTCTTGCTCTGTGCTCTAAAGGGACCCAGCCTGCTGTGTTGTGTTATCGGGGCAGATGGCTTGGCTCAGGGCCAGAGGGATCTCTCTCCTTCCCTCCTCCTTACCCCCCCCCACCAGGATTTGGGGCTGGGGGGAGGCTGGGGTGGAGGGCCATTTAGCCACAAGGGCTCTGGCCTCTCCCAGATAAAAGGAAGCAGATGGGCTTCAGCTGGCAGTTCTTTCCTCTGCCTGTCAGGCCTTGTTAAATATTTAAAATGTCAAGGCCCCTGGGAACCTGCCTGATTCGGCCACAGCGGCTCTGGAGCTTGCCCGGTGCCTGTGGAGGGGCGGGCATGGAGAAGGGCAAGTGCCCAGGTGGGTGGCCAGGCCGCAAGAGAGAGAGCCAGCCAGGCCTGATCTGCCTCCTGAAGAATGAGCACTGTGAGGACTACCCCTCCCCTTTCCAAGCCCAGGAGCCCGGGCCCCCAGCACACCTGCTGACTTGGCCCTGGAGTGCTCACCCAGATGGCCCCACTCCTGCCCAGACACAGTGGCCTCAGCTTTGGACCCCTCTCAAAGCTGCACCCCAGGCCCCACATCAATCCCCTGGCAAGGTGTGCTGGCAGATTGGTGCTTTGGGGAGGGTGGGGAGTCTGGGGAGGTGCATGGTGTACTGGGGGAGGAGATTTTGCCTGTTCCTGGCAAGAAGCACATCAATGGGCCCAGCCTTTGTAGCTATCCAAGAGGATTCCAGAAGCCGGGGAACCTGGGTCTTGGGCCAAGCTCAGTGGTAAACCCACTGGAGGGACCCAGGTCCCAGCCCTTCCCCTGTCTGGCCTTTACCAGGAGTCATGGAAAGGAGAGCGCGGATTATCCAGGAACCACACGATGTGGTCCTAATCCAATTCTGATGGCATTTGGCCTCTGCTCTGGGTAGGGCGCTCATCTGTGTCCATGCCAACCAGCCGGCCCCTGCCCCAGCACTTTGGACCTGGGCCACTGTTGGGGGCCTGCTGGTCAGGCACATGCTTGAAACGAGAGGGGCTGCAGCTACCTTCTGGCCCCCACATGAGTACCTGAGCAGCTGTCGAGACCCCAGAGCCTGACGGGAAGGCCACAGCCTCGGGCTGGTGTAGGGCAAGGGAGAGAGAAGCATTGCTAGAGCATCAAGGGCAACTCAAGGCCAAGGAACAGGCTGACGGTGGGAGGGAGGGAGAGAGGGAGGAGAGAGGGGGGGAAGGAATGGAGCCAGCTCACTCCTGGGGAAGGGGCCCCAAGGGCCTGGCTTCTGTTGGGGATAAGCTGGCATGTGGGGGTGAGGCAGGCAGGATGCAGACTTAGGGTGCCGTGGGGACCCTTGCCCTTTCTCAGGCAGGGATCGTGGAAACCCTGGGTGTCTGGGAGAGCCTCCCTAGTACTGACCCCACATGTCATATGTCTTACAGCTTAAAGACCCAGGCCTCAGTCAGGAGTGGGGCACAAGCCCTCAGCTAGGACCCCAGCCCCTAGGACCCGAGGTCCTGAGCTTCTCGCAGACACCCAACTGGAAAGTTGCAGCCTCCAGAAACTTGAGCCCCGGCAGGGCCCAGGCACCATGAGGCCCCGGGGAGAAGGGCAGGGACAGCTGCAGCTCGGCTAGGTGGGGGGCACAGCGTGTGATCATCGCCCAGCTGGGGAGATGGGCCAGGGCTGTGCCGGCTGCGGGCTTTGGCTCTTGTCAGGCCCTCCACCTCAGGTGGGCCCCCCTGCCCCTCCCCCAAAGCCATATTTCCCTGCCTAGTGGACACCCACTGTCCTTCCTCCCAAGTCCTTCTGCGCTCCACTTAGCACTTCCTTGCTCTCAAGTCGCCTGGGGGCCAGGTCCTGTGTGCCTTCCCAAGCCAGCTGGGAGCACCCCATAGGCTGGGGACCCCGACCCCCCATCTGCCCTGCCGGCTTGCTCCCTGCCCCCTCAGGAGGCCAAAGGAGTTGGCCGCGACTGGGAACTGCAAGCCACCATCTGTCCACTAGGTGTCAGTGTGGGGCTGGACGCGTGAGGGACAGGCCTAGAAGGAAGCAGCATCCTGAGGCCTGAGGGCTGAGGGCGGGCCCAGGGGACTGTGTCCTGTCTGCCAGCCTCAGGGGTAGGTGGCCAAGTGGGTATCTGGCCTTGGAAGGAGGTGGCCTGGATGTCAGTCCCACATAGAAGCTTCCGGTAGCTTCAGGCATGGGCCTGAGGGGGCTCACGCTCTAGAGGCGGAGGCCCAGCAGGCTCGGTGCAGGCCTGGGTAGGAAGTGGGTTGCGCCAAGAATGAGAAGTAAGGTAAGGGCCCAGCTTCCAAATGCCAGAGCTCACCCCTTTGTGGGTGTTGATTCTGAGTCCTTCATCCCAGCCCCAACACAGTAGCTTGTCGGGGATGTGGAGGGGGCCTCCCAGGGCTCTGAAACTATTGGTCAGGCCCCTGTCAACCCCTCAGCCCTCCTTCACCGTGCTTCATCTGCTCCGGCCACGAGGGGTCCCCACTGGGACTGGCTTCCTCATCCTTTCCCCTTCTTGTCCTCTGCATCAGCATGAATCACTGACAATCTCATTAACCTTATAGACGGTTCACCAACTGCCACGTCCCATCCCTGCCCTTCACTGTGACCCCCAGCTCAGAGCTCAAGGTTGGCACCGCTGTGGGGTCTAGGGAAAGCATTAGGAAGGAGCCAGCTGTCTCCGGAGGGCTGGCCATGAGAACACAGGGCTGGGGATGGTTCCTATGCACTTCCTAAGTGCCGTGGGTGCCAGGCCCATGCTCAGGTCTTTGGGCTGCTAGAGCCGACCCTCCCCCAGGTCCTGTCAGACGATGAAGGCTCTGTGTCCCGCACACACAGTTTGACCACGCCCCCCTCTTGGTGGCTTAGCGTCTGTGAGGCTGCTGTCATCCTGACCTGGGGTCAGGTGCACAGGGAAGCAGAGGAGTCCTGGGCTGCCCACAGGAGCTCCAACTCATGGGTGCGAGGCCCTTTCCCTCCTTGGCCTCAGTTTCCTCCTCTGGACCCTGGAGGGATGGTGTGAGCACGTCGGCCCACTCGCAGCCCCTGTGCCCTCCAGCCCAGTCTCGTACCAAGCCCCGCACCCCTGGGAGAGCCTTGGCAGTCTCTTCCCCTGTCTCCAGATGACACTTGGCCATCCCTGGCCCAGCTGGGTCCCCTCTGCCCACCCCCCATGTTGGGTGTTACTGCATTCCTCCCCATCTGCCCTTTGAAGGGACCCAACATAGCCCATGGGCGTCCCTGGGCCTATCTGGGGGAGCACCCAGCCCCACATGGCTGTGTGCTGTGTGGTGGCAGAGTGTTCCAGGCCAGTGCGGGTCGGCCTTCCAGGGGCTTTCAGGCTGGAGGGCGGGGCGGGCGCTGTGGCCGAGCAGGGCAGGAAGGGGCAGGGCCTCGCGCGGCTGGTCTCCCATCCTCGTCCGTGTCCCTGCTCTCCGTCCCTGCACCACACAGGCCTGGCCAACAATGCCAATGACTTAGAGAAGCGCAGGCAGATCTACGGGCAGAACTTTATCCCTCCCAAGCAGCCCAAGACCTTCCTGCAGCTGGTGTGGGAGGCCCTGCAGGACGTGACCCTGATCATCCTGGAGGTGGCTGCCATTGTCTCCCTGGGCCTTTCGTTCTATGCGCCGCCGGGGGAGGAGAGCGAAGGTGAGCAGGGGAGGGCCCGACAGGAGGGACGGAACGGGACCTGAGCCGAGGGGCAACGGCGTGACTCTCCTGCCACCCCATCCTTCCCTGCTGTCCTCGGGCACAGCATGCGGGAATGTGTCAGCTGGGGCAGAAGACGAAGGGGAGGCCGAGGCAGGCTGGATCGAGGGAGCCGCCATCCTGTTGTCGGTCACCTGCGTGGTTCTGGTCACGGCCTTCAATGACTGGAGCAAGGAGAGGCAGTTCCGGGGCCTGCAGAGCCGCATCGAGCAGGAACAGAGGTTCTCGGTCATCCGGGATGGCCAGCTGCTGCAGGTCCCCGTGGCCGCACTCGTGGTGGGAGACATTGCCCAGGTCAAGTACGGTGAGTGCACGCAGTGCAGGCCTGCCCCTGCCTCGCCCCAGGAGCATGTGGGCCTTCACCCACGGTGGGGCGGGGGCGGGAGGGGGTGCAGGGGCTGAAGGGGGGGGCTCAGGCTGGAGACAGAGCCCCAGGAGGGCAGGAGGACAGGGCTGGGGTGGGTGAGTCCTCCCCAGAAAGGAGGAGACTGAAAGAAGAGGGCCCCACACCCTAGGTTCGAGACCTCTCCTGGGGCAGGGGGGAGGCAGCAGGGAGGAAGGCTACCTGGACCCACAGCCTGTGGTTCCGGCTGCCTGGCTGGCCTTAGGAGACCTGCTGCCTGCTGATGGCGTGCTCATCCAAGGCAATGACCTCAAGATCGATGAGAGCTCCCTGACAGGCGAGTCAGACCACGTGCGCAAATCAGCTGACAAAGACCCCATGCTGCTCTCAGGTGAGGCCTCTGGGCACTGGCCAGGCTGTGGGGAGGCCAGGACGCAGGCTGACACTGCCCCCTGGACCAGCTTAGCACTGAAGAGCCTCGGAGGCCACTTGGGCTGGCCATCCCCTCAACCAGGGGCCTCCTGAGTAGCCCTTCTGGTCAGAGAGTCTGAAGATTTTGCCCCGCCAGAGGCCAGAGCGGCCTGTGGGAGGCATGACGGTGGTAGCTCAGCCACTGGGAAAGGAAATGGGTACTCCAAGCCCCAAAGGGCCCCTGATATCCTGCCGAAAGCCCCCAGAGGGGTCAGCATAGTGCTGGGCTCCGCCCCGGCCCAGACACCCAAGAAGAGCCAGTGGGGGTAGCGTTCCCTTTCCAGAAGGTTTTGGCTCAGCCCAGTGTTCATCCCAGTGGCAAATGCAGCATGCAACAGGACAGGGAGGCTGGAGGCCCCAGGTGGGCCCTGTGAGGCCTCAGCCTAGGCTTAGGGTCAACATAGCCTCCAGGGGCCTCCAGACACTGAGTCCCTGCTTCTGGGATTCCTGCGAGAGAACCTGTAGGTGTTCAGCATGCCTCCCACCAGAGGTGCAAATCTCCGTCTTGGTTCCTCTGTGTTGCCAGGTACTCATGTCATGGAAGGTTCTGGAAGAATGGTGGTGACTGCCGTTGGTGTGAACTCCCAGACAGGCATCATCTTTACCTTGCTCGGAGCCGGTGGAGAGGAAGAGGAGAAGAAAGATAAGAAAGGTAAGGAAATAGCGACCTCCAGTTCCCAGCGCCAACGAGGGGCTGACCCTGTCTCTGTGCAGCCCGCTCTTCCTTCTTTCATCCCCTGGTGCCCTAATCCCCTACTCCAGCTCCAGCTCCAGGGAGAGCCAGCCCTCGGGGGTGGGAGGCTATACCCTCTCTTCTGATTCCTTTCGGGGAACCCCTCTTCTGGGGCCAGCAGGTCGGGGGCCCCTCATTTCTGTGTAAGGCCAGCCTCCCTTGGGCAGCCATTCCCCGAAGGCTTTGGGAAGTGTGTGCCAGGGTGGGGGAAGTGCCCTGCCTGGGTAGGAATGGGGTTGGAGGGACAGGGACAGGCCACCTTGGCTTGGGAGAGTGCTTCGGGGACCCTGTGCCCACCCTTGGGTGCGCTCATTCCCCATGGTAAGGTACTGAGGGCCCCACCAACGCGGCAGCCGGGGAAATGTGGGTCATACAGCCAGGGGTAGAGGGTTCCCAGGCAGAATGGACTGGACTCCCCAGAGGATGTCCGGGGCCAGAGGAAGCTGGGATGGGATGGGGGCCCTCACCCCAAAGGAAAACAGTGTCAAGGGACAGATGTGTTCTGAGAGCCCAGCTCTGTAGCCACCCTGGCCTCCCCGGCACATGGCCATCCTGCTGCCTCCTCTTGCCGCTGCTCTGAGCCCCAGGCACGGCCAGTGTCTCCTCCAGTCCTCCGGGCAGGTCTTACAAAGCTACGGAGCAGTCCTCGGCGCCACCCCCACACCAGAGTCCCAGTCCCAGAGTCAGGACCCCATTATCTTCTTTGATTCAGGCCTGCACCAGCTCACGACTCACCTTGCACTAACCTGGGTCTCCCCTCAGGCTGCTCCTGCAGTCCAATCAGGTGGGAGCAGAATTTTCTAGATGTGTGCCTCTGAGAGAACTCGCTCGGGTCCACTAGAAGTACAGAGAACCCGCACATGTGTGGGGAAAGCGTGTGCTGAAAGCCTGCAGCCACCAGCCCCACCTCAGTCAGGGCCCCTAGACCCAGAGAACAGGCAACAAGGGGGCAGGTCAGCATAAGGAAGGATGTGCTAGTGTCCCCAGCCCTAGGCTATTGCCTAGAAGCTTCCATTGGCCCTGTCCACCTTTGCCACACCAAGTCTCCTCTCCCTGCAGGGCTCAGCCTAATTGCTGTCCACGGTGAGCACAGTAGGGTCCCTAGGCAGGCGTGCGGGTGGGTAGGTCAGCCCTGGGCCTCCGTCGGGGCTGGGCCGGAGTCCCCAGCCCTCTCTCCGGGGAAGCCTAGCTGACTGCCTGGTGTTCCTCCACCGTGATGGCTGGTTGGCAGGGTGCTCCTTCTCCCCTCCAGCTCTGTCCCTTAAATGTCGGTGGTCTTCAGGACTGGGTTCTGGGCTCCTCCTCTCCAACCTGGACAAAACCCCGCCAGTGCCCCCCCACCCCCGGTCCCTCCCCAGCTCTGGCTCCCCCTCTACTAGGCTGAGCTACTTAGGAGTCAGAGGGGGCACCTTCACCAGTGGGCTTCCTGGAGGAGGGGAACCCTGAGGGGGGCCCCGGAGGGGAGCAGAGCTGGCAAGGCTCTGGGGAGGGGCAGCAGCACCCACAATTCCCCACCAAGGTCTCAGCCCAAGGCCCAGTCACTGCAGTGGCCACACCCAGCGCCTCACCCCGGCCCTCGTCCTCACCCTCGCTGCCTCTCAACCCCGTCTGTCAGCCCAGTGCTCCCAGTCCACCTGCTGCCCTCCGACCTGTTTCTTGCCTTTTGGCCTTAACTCCTAGTCATCTCTCTACTTGGGGTGTCCTCCTTCCCCCCCCCTCCCCTCCCTCGGCTTCTGTCTTCCTCTTCCTGTAGTGCTCATCCCACACCTCCCTCCCTCCTCCGGGGGCCTCCCTGGGCCCTGTCTGCAGCCTCTGTCCCCAGAGTTTTCAGCAGTGACTCCTCACTGTGCCGTCTACGGGTGTCTCCTCTGCCCCCAGAAATCTCCTTCCCCTCTGAACCTCCCCACCCTCACAGAGGGACCAACCTACACCCCACCCCAGCTGGAGGGGACCCCTCCCCCCTCCCTGGGACCCCCAGACTAGACCCCACTGCCTAGGAGCCAGCTGGCACCCTGTCTGCGTTCCTGGACCCCCAGTGACGTGAGCTGACAAGTCAGCACACAAGCCCCCTCCTGCCCCAGGTCAGTCATTTCTGGATCCTGGGCCAGCAGTGGTGTGGCTCCGAAAAGAGCTCCTTGACCTGATGCCCCACCCATGATGCCCTGGGAAAGATGAGGCCAGAGGAGCTGGGGGCAGAGCCTGACCCTGAGCACAGTGCTGGACTCGCCGCCTTGGAAGCCACTCACTGCCACAGTCCCCAACACCCGGCTGCACGTTCATGAATGGCCACCCCCCACAGGTCCACCTGGGGCCCAGCGCATTCCGCGCCCCTGTCCTCCCTCCAGTGCTAGGTGCCCAGCACCCAGGTGGGCACCGGAAGCTGGCAGGTTTCTAGAGTCTCGCTCCTTTGTCCCTCCAAAGCCCTCATAGAGCTAACTGCTGGCTGTGCGGCAGAGAGCTGACCTCTAGGCCAGTGGGGGCGAGGGGCCACCGAGGTAAACGGCTGGTGCTGCTTCTGGGGACAATGCACATCGCAGCTTGGGGGCCCTGCTCAAGGTGGCAGAGCTGGGACCAGACACCTGGCCGCTCTAACTCCCCATGGCGGTAGCCTTCTTGGAAACCTCCCACTGCTGGCCACGCATGACCCACGGTTTGTCCAGGGCTGGCTTTGAGGGTTCGCTGGAGGGCTGGGGCCTCGGTCCGGAAGCCCAGAGTGTGGCGCCCATTTGCCAAAAGGTGGTCACAGGGCATCAGAGGATGCCTGGGGGGTCTGGAGCCCTCCCCTGCTCCCCGCTTTCCACCGTGCTCTCTGGCCTCGCTGTGTCATTCCTCTTCCGTTGTAGGCAAGCAGCAGGATGGGGCGATGGAGAGTAGCCAGACCAAAGGTAATGCACGCCCTGTGCTCAGGGCGGGGTGGCGGAGGGCGTGGCAAGGGTGGGGGGCCGCCCGCCTCAGTTGCAGGAGGGTGGGGCCGGGGGTGCTCATCTGCAGACCCTGCCAGCAGTCCGCAGAGATCACCGGTGAGCGGGCTTCCTGGTGAGGAGACTGAGGCTCAGGCCCGTGGGTGTCCCAGTTCAGCTGGACCTTTGAGGCAGGGTGACTGGGTGGCCACCTGACGCCTGCTCTCCTCTCAGCCCGAATGCCTGGTAGGTGCTATTACTCGGTGATGGGCTGAGGGTTGTCAGCGGTCAGGCGCAGGTGCTGGGGCTGCCAAGGTAGATGAAGTGTGGTCCCGGCTGTCAGGAAGGTCACAGTGCAGAGACACAGACCCAGGGGCAAGACTCAAGTGCAGTGTGGGACCCGGGGACCCAGAGACCAAGACAGGCTCAGACAAGGCAACTGGAGTTCAGAGGATAGCTAAGGTGGGGTCAGGGGGCCGGCCCGATGGCTGTGGTCCCAGGCAATCGCGGGGGCACACGGCTGGAGTGGCCCAGCTGGGCGGGGGATTGAGGACCGCTGAGGCCGTGGGTTCTGGCTTGAGGCCCCTGGGGAAAAGAAGCCATCGGTGAGTGGTCTCAGGCAGCCGAGGGGAGAAGGCTCGGGTGACGGATAAGGATGAGTGGTGGGGTCGGGTGCCCCCTCCACGTGGGGGATGGACAGGATTACACAGGGTGCAGTTGGAGACTCCACAGTCTTCGGAGTGTGTGAGGTGACAAGTGACAGAAGAGGGGTGGGGGGTATGCCACGACCACGTCGGGGCAGCATGAAGGGTGCCGGACCCACTGGGGGAGCCGTGAGGGGGCCACCTGTTCCAGACCGAAAGCAAAGAGGCAGCTAGAGGAGAGTAGCGAAGGCCCCATGAGGAGAGAGAGGTGCAAGGCTTGCCCAGGGGCGTGCACATGGTGAGCTGGGGCCCTGATGGAAGTCAAGGCACCCGCTCGAGAGGCGGCCGGGAGAGCAGACAGCCTAAGCAGGGAGCAGGGGAGAAGAGTGCAGGGGCTCCTAGGCCTCCTGAGGAGAGCAGGGAGGCGTCTAGGACGCCAGTGGGCCAGTGGGTCAGCTCAAGGTTCTGGAACGTTCCCTGGGCCCCAGGCCTCTGCTGTCAGGTATCAAGATTTGGAGCCTTATGGGACTGGCCACCCTGTCTGTGTGCCCACGTTACTCGTGCTTGTGTCTGTCCTCCTTTCCCCTGAGAGGCCCCGAGAGAACCGTGTCTGCCCTGGCCAGGACGGCACTGCGGCCTCCCACCCATATCAGGAGGGCCTGGGCCTGCTGAGGGGAGAGGAGGGGGAGGAGAGAGCCCCGCGGAAGTCAGAGCAGCCCGCAGAGCCCTGTTTCCTCTCATAGAGCGTGAAGGCCCCTTGTAGCTGCCACCTGGGCCCTAACCTTGGCTGTGGGGTTCCTCTGCGTGCAGCTAAGAAGCAGGACGGGGCAGTTGCCATGGAAATGCAGCCCCTGAAGAGCGCGGAGGGCGGGGAGATGGAGGAACGGGAGAAGAAGAAAGCCAGCGTGCCCAAGAAGGAGAAGTCGGTCCTGCAGGGCAAGCTCACCAAACTGGCCGTGCAGATTGGGAAGGCAGGTGGGGCCACCACTGGGCGCAGACGCTGGGCTCCCGGGCGCCGGGCCGGGCTCTGGAAAGCAAGTGGGCGTGGGAAAGGGCTGTTACAGGCCGTGTGGGCCAGGCAGCCAGGGCCCCCCCCCCCCCGGGGCCGGCAGTGGCCATCAGGGTCTGGTGCAGTCCCCAGTCAGGGAGCACAGGTTCCAAATGTCCGCCAGGCTGGGCCAGGGGAGTGGCGCCCCTGCCTCAGCCTCCCTTACGTCTGCCTCGCTCTTGCTCTCTCCCTCCCGCACCCCGCTCACTCCCCATCCCGCCCCCACCGTCTGTGGCTCCTGTGGCCCCGGCAGGCCTGGTCATGTCTGCCATCACTGTCATCATCCTGGTCCTCTACTTTGTGATTGAGACCTTCGTCGTCGACGGCCGGGTGTGGCTGGCGGAGTGCACGCCCGTCTATGTGCAGTACTTTGTGAAGTTTTTCATCATCGGCGTCACTGTGCTGGTTGTGGCCGTCCCGGAGGGCCTGCCTCTGGCTGTCACCATCTCCTTAGCTTACTCTGTCAAGGTAATAATAATACACGCGATAGGAGGGAGAATCCCTTGATAGCAGGATACAGACCCGGAAACTGGACTTCGAAGCCATTAAGCAACTTGGCGTGACAGGCGCCAGAGAAAATCTGGGAGCAGTCACGGAAGTGGCGGGGGGGAGGGGCTGCTGAGCAGGGGAGCAGTGAGATGAGCTGGAAAGCAGGCAGGCGGTGGGATAGACCCGGCATCTGCAGGATGAGGGCGGTCGGTTGAGGGTGCTGGCGTCACTTGCAGAAGTGGGTGCAGGGGGCAAATGGGTGATCAGGAGAGGGCTGAGGACACTGGGAGACAGTGGGTGGCAGGTGGCTGACACTGGGGCTGATCTGAGAGGGGGCCACGGGAGGCCCCAGGTGAGCTCCGGGGAGAGCGGCTGCCCAGAGTCGACCGCTTGGCCCGCCTGATGAGAGTGCTCCCACCCTGCAGCCCCTCCCAGCGGCGCCTCTGGCAAGGCTGAGCAGAGTCGCACATGACATGCTGACGACCTCTTGCTCCCCTACCCCGTGGGCCAAGCTTTCCGAGGACAGCTGGTGACCCAAGCCCCCATCCCTGCCCTTCACAGAAAATGATGAGGGACAACAACCTGGTCCGTCACCTGGATGCCTGTGAGACCATGGGAAACGCCACCGCCATCTGCTCGGACAAGACGGGCACACTCACCACCAACCGTATGACCGTGGTCCAGTCCTACCTCGGGGACACCCACTACAAAGAGGTTCCAGCCCCCAGCACCCTGACCCCCAAGATCCTCGACCTCCTGGTCCACGCCATCTCCATCAACAGTGCCTACACCACCAAAATACTAGTGAGCAGAGAGCGGGCCGCAGGCTGGGCCAAGCTGGGGCGGCATGGAGGAAGGGGGCCAGGCCGGAGATTGCCGCCGAGCTGTCACCAGGGCCTCTCTCGGCTCCCTTAAGAACCTTTGGTCAGAGCTGCAGGGGTCTCTGGGATGCTGGTCGGCCTCCACCTCATCTATGGACTCCTGTCCTGGCTGCTGGGCAGGACCTGCAGCTTCTGGAAACCCTTCCAAGCCCAGTGCATGGTGGCAAGCCTGCCCATCTAGTCCCCGTGGAGGCCGTCCCCGGCTCCCAGCCACCACACCCTAGAGACAAGGTGGCCGCAGCCAGGCGGAGGGGGGGGGGGGCCCGGGTGCAGCAAGGAGGGTAGACTCGGGCCCCCTGTGCCATGCTGCTTCTCCTTGCCTCATAGCCTCCAGAGAAGGAAGGCGGTCTCCCCCGCCAAGTGGGCAACAAGACCGAGTGTGCTCTGCTGGGCTTTGTCCTGGACCTGAAGCGGGACTTCCAGCCTGTGCGGGAGCAGATTCCAGAAGATAAGCTTTACAAAGTCTACACCTTCAACTCGGTCCGCAAGTCCATGAGCACGGTCATCCGCATGCCTGACGGCGGCTTCCGCCTCTTCAGCAAGGGCGCCTCGGAGATCCTGCTGAAAAAGTGAGCGGGCCACAAGGGCCAGCAGTAAAGTAGACGTAACGTCCAATTGGCCACGTTAATCCCTTGAAAACGTACTTCAGTATGTTCCCAGAGTTGTGCGCTGTCGCCGCGCTTGCAGAACGTTTTCATCACCCCGCAAAGGAAACCCTGTTCCCATTAAACAGCCACTCCCACCTCCCTTCCCCAGCCCCTGACAGCTACTCATCTCCTTCCTCCGTGGATGTGCCTGTCATGGAATCATACAACGGATGGCTTTTACTGAGCATAACGTTGTCCAGGCTCGTCCACGTCGTAGCGCAGATTGGTGCTTCATTCCTTCTTGTGGCAGAATAATATTCCACTGTGTGAACAGACCACGCTTTCTGTATCTGTTCATCCTTTGGCAGTCCCTTGGCTTGTTCCCACCTTTTGGCTCCTGTGAATCATGCTGCCATGAACATGGGTGTGCACGTTTTTGTTTGAATACATGTTCTCAGTACTCTTGGGCATATTCCTAGGAGCGGAAGTGCTGGCTCCTATGGGAGCGTAGTCTCACTTTTTCAAGGCACGAGGGCTCCTGCTTCTCCTCATTCTCACCAGCATGCGTTAATCTGTTTATTATTACGATGACGATGATGATGATGGTTATAGCCATCCCAGGAGATGCAAACTGGGATCTCACGGTGGTTGTGTTTGCACTTCCCTGGCGACTAGTGATGTTTGCACCTTTCCATGTCCTCACTGGCCATTTGTGTGTCTTCTTTGGAGAAAAGGCTATTCAAGTCCTTTGCTCATCTTTGATCTGAGTTGTTGTTTTGTTGGTTTTGGGGTTTTTTGTTGCTGAGCTGTAAGAACTCTCGCTGTATGCCAGATACCAGAACCTTAACGCACCTGATTTGTAAATATCTTCTCCCTCCCTGTGGGCTGTCTTTTCACTCTGTTGATTGTTTTTTGTTGTTTGTTTTTTTTTTCTTTTCACCCTCTTAATTCATCCCTGGATGCACAAGTGTCTTCCAGTGATGAAGTCCAGTTTATCCCTTTATTTCTTGTGTCGCTTGTGTGGGGTTCCTGTTAGAGGTGATGAAAGTGTTTTAAAATTGACTGTGGTGACAGCTGCACACCTCTGTACATTTTAATTGGACAAATTGTGTGGTGTGTGAATTATATCCCAATAAAGCTGTTATAGAAACCGATGGGGGGAGCATGCAGCTCCACCTCCAAGCACCCATCCCCCAAGTCCCCATCCTCCGGCCTTGCCCACCTGGCTCCTCACTTCCTGCAGAGCCACCTTCTAAGACACGAATGTTCTCCCCCAAAACTCTGCCCAGGCACAGACTCCCCGGGTGCAAAGGCCACCTCTTCCCTGAAGCTGTCCTGCCGCATCCTGGCTGGATTGGGAGGCCTCAGCCCTCTTTTCGTGCTTCCCTTCTCCTCTGGCTAAAAGCCCGAGTTCTGTAGTAGGCCTGTGGCTCTGCTCTTTGCTGGCATGTGAACGTCAAGTTACTCCCCTGCCGGAGCCTCAGTTTCCTCCTACACGGAGACAACACAAACACTTACCTCCTAGGAATGTTGTGAGACTTACATGAGTGAATCCACAAAAAGGCGCTCTCCTCGCCTACGCAAGTCTGTGAGTTTCCGGCTCCTGGGGCTGCCAGGACAAAGGACCATAAACCTGATGGCTTAAAAACTGAGAAACCTGTTTTCTCACAGTTCTGGAGTCCAGAAGTCCACAGTGAAGGTGTGGGCAGGTCCATGCTCCCTTCGGAGCTGCCAGAGGAGGCTCCTTCCTTGTCTCTTGCAGCTTCCGGTGATTGCCAGCAGTCGTTTGAGTCCCTTGGCTTGTAGATGGGTCACCCCCATCTCTGCTGGCATCCTCACATTGCCCGGTCCTCGTGTGTGTCTATGTCTCGATGTGTCCTCTTCTCTTTTTAGAAGGACACCAGTCATTGGATTAAGGGCCCACTGTAAACCGGTATGACCCCATCTTAACTTTGCAACAACCCTATTTCCAAATCAAGTCACAATCTGAGGTTCTGGGAAGAACGTGAAGTGCCGGGGGTGTGGGGGCAGGGCGCAGACACTGTTTGGGCCCCGCAGAAGCAGAACGCCTTCCTCCCCGAGAAGCCCCCCCACCACACCGGATGGAGGGCTCACACCCATGCCTGCTGGTTCTCTCTGTCCCCGCCCCAGGTGCAGCAACATCATAAACAGCTTCGGTGAGCTGCGTGGCTTTCGCCCTCGGGACCGGGACGACATGGTGAAGAAGATCATCGAGCCCATGGCGTGCGACGGCCTCCGCACCATATGTATTGCCTACCGGGATTTCTCTGCCGCTCAGGAGCCCGACTGGGACAATGAGAACGAGGTCGTGGGCGACCTCACCTGCATAGCTGTCGTGGGCATCGAGGACCCCGTGCGGCCCGAGGTAGCCACCCACTTGTCCATGAGCAGCCCAGGTTGTTGGCTGGGTCAAGGGGCAGCCCTGCTTCCCATCCGGCCTCCACAGCATGGCCCCTTTCTCCTGCCTTCCCTGCTACCACACTACTTCCTGCCGGAGTCCAGAAAGGTCAGGAAAGGTGGGCAAGGGCAGGGCCTTGGGGTCCTTCGGATCAGACCTCCCCGGCACACTCGATCCCCCTTGCCCTCCCGCCCTTGCACCCGCGCGGGGCCTCCAGGCCTGACTCATGCTCTGCCTCCACCAGGTGAGAGACGGCGTCAGTAGAACCTCGAGGGCTGTGACCCCCGCAGGACTGATGGACTGGAGGGAGGGGCAAGGGAGAGGGAAGAGTCAGGCACCGCCCCCAGGGCTCTGGTTCGGAGACGCGGATGGATGGCAGTTCCATCACCGGGCTGGGAGTCCGAGGGGACCCAGGTTTGGGGGGCGGGGGGCAGTCCTCTCTCAAGGGTTTGGTTGGGGCTGAGTGAGGTTCGGGACCTCCCCGTAGAGATGTCAAGTGGGTAGGTAGCTGTAGGAGTGGAGTGCTCAAAGCGGAAGGTCCTGGCAGGAGAGATTCCAGAAGCATCCTTATATGAGTGATGTCACAGGGTGAGTGTCCAGCTAGGACAGATGTGGGAGGAGCCTTCAAAGAGACTTGGAGGAAGGGTCCAGGCAGGGAGCCAGCATGTGTAGATGGCTTTACCAAGAGCTTTTCTGCAGAGGTAACAGAGAAACTGGGCAGAAGCTGAACAGGCTGCAGAGCGAAGGAGCAAAGGGGAGGCTTGTTGGTCCATAAAGATGGAAGAGCCCTGGAGCGGAGCGCCAGTGACAGCTACAGGATGCCAGGCCCCACAGGAAGAATGCGAGGCGCAGGGGCCGCAGCTTGCCAGAGGCAGGGAGGGATCCTCTGTCTCCTCCCAGGGCCTCTCCAGTGGCACCCACCTCGTGTCAGAAGCAGGGCCACCCTGATCCTGCTGATTAGCCTGGAGACATGTATGTGTATGAGCTGCCCTTAGGGTTGCTGACATGAGGAAGGAGACGCTTCTGGGCCCTCCTTCAGGAGACGGGTCTTCATTCACACGCTGGATCAGGTACCAAAGACCGTCGATTGAAAAGTCAGTGCTTGCTACATGCAGACAGTGGCCGTGGGCCGTCCGTGACAGTGCACCCCTGTGTTCTGAGGAGCCTGGAAGCCTGCCTGGGAGGACGCAGATGGCAGCAGAGGGGAAGGGAGAGACTCCCAGCCAGAGGGACAGGTCTAGCTAAGGTGGACAGTGGGAGAAGCAGCCTAGGAGGGCAAGGGGAGAGGATGCTGCTATGGGTGACGGGGCCACCCCAGTGGACACAGGGTCTGGACCGTTCCCTTCGTCGGACCAGGAGGAAACTGAGGCACAGAGGAGGAGGCCTGTGTCCACCCAGTGAAGCCGAGTCATAAAGCTGGCTGGCGTTCGATGCTGCTCCGAGAAGGTCTCACGGACCCAGGAGGGCAGCGTCCCTGTACTCCCAGGGCCCTGCGCCTGCCCCCGCTTCCACCTCAGCTACTGGCCCACTTGTTCCATTTCCCCCAATGAGTAGGCAGAGTGCCTTCTCATGTGAGACCTACGGCTCTACGTGTCTTGGGTTTTAGATTGTTGTAAACAGGAGCGGGGCACGGGGGGACACGTGAGAGGTGCCCAGAGCTTGGCCACAAGCCCGCTGATGGCCAGGAGCCTGCCCCAAAGGGACAGGCCTGCCGTCAGCTTTGCCATCTGGCAGGGTAGCTGGGGACACAGGTTCCTTTCTCATTTTTCCAGCCCTCACTGACACAGCCTGGTAAGCAGGGCCGCCCCTGGCTCGGCAGCTCTGGAGCTCCGTCTCGCAGTGGCGGATGGGGTTGATGGAGCTGGGTGATTTCTATGGTCACCTTTCCAGACCCGACTGCAGTGGCGCCCCTCGACAGCGTACAAGTGACCAGTGCCTTCTCCCAGCCTGACTCGTGGCGTTGGGGCCTGGGTCTGAGTCCTCGCTGGTCCTGGGGCCCAGCACAAGGAAGGAGGCACCCAGGGGTGGGGAGGGGTGCTGAGGGGATGAAGGAGGCACCCCGCCCGCTGCAGACCAGGCAGTAAAGCGGACCAGCCACTTTGCCCCACAGGGACCACAGTGGGGGGAGGGTGCTGCAGATCTGGATGCAGGAAATGCGCCTTGCCTCGGTGGCCGCACCCATGTCTCTCGTCTCTTCCAGGTCCCTGAAGCTATCCGCAAATGCCAGCGTGCTGGCATCACAGTGCGCATGGTGACCGGGGACAACATCAACACAGCCAGGGCCATCGCGGCCAAGTGTGGCATCATCCAGCCCGGGGAGGACTTCTTGTGCCTGGAGGGGAAGGAGTTCAACCGGCGCATCCGCAACGAGAAAGGCGAGGTAGGCCTGGGCTCCGCTGCCCCCCCACCTCAGTCCGGGGTTCTGGCGGTTTCTCCCCCCCACCCCACCTCTGCTCAGCACCCCACACCCAGGCTCTGCAGCATCTGTGTGCTTCCCCGTCCCAGATAGAACAGGAGCGTCTGGACAAGGTGTGGCCCAAGCTGAGGGTCCTCGCCCGATCGTCTCCCACCGACAAACATACTCTGGTCAAAGGTAATGGAGCTTGCCCACTGCTGCTCGCCGCTGCCCGGGGTGCCATGCCACTGGCTGGGTGTGGTCTGCCCCCAGACCCCCGATGCCAAGCTCCAGGGCCTGCCTAGGAAGTGGGGTCCCGGGCTGTAGATGTGCTGCGGGTGGACGTGGCCCTGAACGGGAACTTCAGGAAAATGCGGGTGATGATGGCCGACATGCCAGGGCCCACTCCTCCGCACCTCCGGGCTAACGACCCGAGTGGGAGACGCCTCTCGTTGTAACAGACGGGGAAACTGAGGCCTCCGAGTCACACAGTGCTGAGCCCCTGCCTTCCCCCCAATCACCACCATGTGTCATCTCGCTGGGTGATGGGCCAGGGCAGGAGGAGGGGAGCGGGGACTTCGCTGCAAAGGTGACCGAAGCACAAGGGGATTGGGGGCAGTGGGCGCAGTCGCCATCCCGAAGGGTTTCCTGAGTCAAGCAGTCGCCCACAGCCCCCAGGCAGGAGCCCAGGGCACAGGCGCCCCACTCTGCATTCCAGGGATCATCGACAGCAGCACTGGCGAGCAGCGGCAGGTGGTGGCCGTGACCGGGGACGGCACCAACGACGGGCCAGCCCTCAAGAAGGCAGATGTGGGCTTTGCCATGGTAAGCCACCCAGTGCCGACCTGGCTCGGCACACCACGTAGGATCTTGTGTCTCAAGGACATCAGCTCCGTGCAGAAAGGTGGGAGCTAGTGTTAAGGCCTCTTTCTCTCACGTCCCGGCCTCTCGGGCCTCCACAGGCCCTGCTGGTCAGGGGACGTACGTGTGACTTGTTCAAAGGCATTTGGTGACAGTGGGCCTTGTCGTGCACCTGCCTCAGCCAGTCCCGGTCCAGTCTCAGCGAACCACAGCCCCAAGTGTGATGACTGGAGCCCCCCAGTGAGCTTGGCCTCTGTGTTTCTCTCCTGTTGCTTATATGGAGCTAGTTATTTCTGTAAACCCTGACCCTGCTGCCCAGGCGGCCGGCACCGGCACCGCAGCCTTCTAGAGTGAGCTACGCAGAAACCCAGTGAGCCCCTCTCCCCACCTACCACTAAGGAGCACCCGCGCTCTGCCCCAGTGACGGTAGCCCACCACGGGCAGGCGCCGGGGGCCCAGGCCAGTCCTGCCCAGAAGCTGGGACCCAGAAGGGGCAAGCACTGGAAGCACCGGGCGGAGCTGCATGGGACCCAGCCTCAGGGCAGCAGACGGGGTGTGCAGCTTTGCGCGGCTGTGGCTGTCCCTGCAGCAGGGGCTTTGAGCACCGAGGATGGAGGAGGGCCTCCTCCAGGCACCCGTGTGTGGGCCGGGAAGACGTGCGCTTGCTCTGCCGAAGGCATCCCCCCCCCACCCCGGACTCATGGAGCTCCTGTCTAGCAAGCTGCTCTAGCGTGCTGGCACTGGACAGAAGCCTGGTGGTAGCCACGTGGTGGCAGCCGGGCCTTGTACATGAGGCCACATTGGTGGCCATGGTGGTGGCCCCCTCCTTGTCTATGAGCAAAGACCCTTAGCTTGCCCTGAGACAACCTGCCGCCTGGAGGAGGAGGTCACGCCGGATGAAACAAGGTCCGTTTCTAGCTGGTGGGGAGCCTCTGTTTGGAAGGCAACCTGGGCGGTAAGCCCCAGGGGGTTGAGTCTTCAAGGGGGCTGGGGAAAGGGCCCGTGGACACTGTGTGTGTGCCCCCCCCCCAGGGCATCGCAGGGACTGACGTGGCCAAGGAGGCCTCAGACATCATCCTGACCGATGACAACTTCACCAGCATCGTCAAGGCGGTCATGTGGGGCCGCAATGTCTACGATAGCATCTCCAAGTTCCTGCAGTTCCAGCTGACCGTCAACGTGGTGGCCGTGATCGTGGCCTTCACGGGTGCCTGCATTACTCAGGTGGGCACTGGGGACCGCTGTGCCCGAGGAAGACCCCGGGCTCTCCCTCCCGCAAGCCATGGGGCCTGCAGGAGGCAGCCGGTTTCCGGGGCCCCTCCTGCCTCATGCACCCGGAGCCCGGTGTGGAGAGCAAGCCCAGGAGACCCCACTCCCATGAGTGTGTGGGCCGACGAGCGCCCGCCCGAGGGCTCAGGCTGTGAGAGCCAGGTCTTTACTTTGTTGCATGTTGTTTTGTTTTTTTTTAATTGAAATAAAAATCACATACCAAAACCTTCGCCATTTGAGAGTAGACACACTTCAGTGGCATTTCATACATTCACTGTGTGTGCGGACCACTGGCTCTGTCTCGTTTCTGAACATTTTCATCGCCCCTAAGAAGACCCCATCCCCAGTAGCAGCCACTCCCCGTCCCCCTTCCCCAGTCCCTGGCACCCACGGATCTGCTTTCTGTCTTTACAGACTTACCCATTCTGGAACATTCCATACAGATGGAATCAAATAACATGTGGTCTTTTGTGCCTGGCACCTTTCACTCAGCATCGTGTTTCCAAGGTCCATCCATGTTACAGCATGGATCGGTACTTCGTTCCTCTGGGTGGCAGAATAATGCGCCATTGTATGGAGAGAGCCCCTTTCATTTGTCCCTTCCTCCATCGATGGGCATGTGGGTCATTTCCACCTTTGGGTGACTGAATAACACTGCTGTGAACATGCGTGTACAAGTCTTTGTGCGGGGAAGTGCTGCTCCTTTCGAGGAGCCTCATCCCCGTTTTCAATAGTCCAATTCTCCCCATTAGTGAGTGTCCAGGATTTGTCTCCCTTTGAACAGTTTTTTTAATGGAGATAAAATTCACATCACAATAGCCATGTGAAAGCGCATAGCTCAGTGACACTCAGTACATTCACAATGTTGTGCCCCCTTGCCTTCCCCCAGCTCCTGACACCCACTCACCTGCTCTCTGTCAGTTCTGGATCTGTCAGTTCTGGAAGTTTCGTAGGAATGGAATCATACAGTGTGTGGCCCTTTGTGTCTGCCTTTTGTGAGGCTGATTTCTAACCGACTCAGAGGCGATGAGGAGAAGGAAGGTGCAGGGCAGACCCCCTGGGTGTGGGAGGTCAGGAGAGCACCCATCGCAGTCTGGGGCAACACACGGGCTTGTGAACCTCCTGCTGACAATTGGGACCACACCTTCTAGATCACTGCCACCAGGTGAGAGAAGGGAGACTGGCAACACTTTAAGAGCAGGAATCTGAAAGTGCCGCGAAAGCTCGCTGGTAACCTTAACAACAGGGATGGGGGATGTCACAGTTTTCTGGGAAGGGCGGGTTCGCTGCATGTCCTGCCAGTGACACCGCCCCCAAGCTGAGTTTCCGCCGGGGATTCCTGGCCCCGTGTGAGGATGACTGCCTCCTCTCCACAGGACTCTCCTCTCAAAGCCGTGCAGATGTTGTGGGTGAACTTGATCATGGACACATTTGCCTCTCTGGCCCTGGCGACAGAGCCACCCACCGAGGCGCTGCTGCTGCGGAAACCGTACGGCCGGGACAAGCCCCTGATCTCGCGCACCATGATGAAGAACATCCTGGGCCACGCGGTGTACCAGCTCACCATCATCTTCACGCTGCTGTTCGTCGGTAGGTCCGCCCTGAGGCACACTGCACGGCTGCCGGCCTCGCAGGCTCAGACCCTGTCCGGCGGTGGAAGGGACGGATGAGCACTAGGAACCCAGGTCGCCGTGAGGACCCCTCTGCCCTCCCCTCCCTGCTGTCCCTCTCTGTGTGTGCCCCGGCGAGGGGTCACAGGCCCCCCCCCCAAGCAGCTGAGAAACTGTCCACGCTCCCAGACCCAGATCGCACCCATCCGTCCATGCACCCCATGACCATTTCTCCAGGGGACAACAACCATGATCAGGAGAGAAGTGGGGGGAGAAGGAGGGAAGACGAGGGGTAGGAGAAAGCGAGGCAGTAGGAGGTAAAGCAGAGGAGAGGAAGGAGAGGCCGGAGGAAAGAAGGGAGAAGGGGGAGAGAAGGAGGAAAGAAAGGGAGGAGGAGGGAGAGCTGAAGGGGGAGGAGGGAAGGGGAAGAGGAGGAGGAGGACGAAGAAGAAGGGGGATAGAGGAAGGGAGGGGAAGATGGAGAGAGGAGGAGGGGGGAGGAGGACTGAGGGTCAGGAAGCAAGAAGGAGGCCAGGGCAGGAAGAGAAGGCAGTTGCAGGAGGAGTGGGGGGGGGGGGGGCTGGGTTTGTTGGTGTTTGTGGCCCCTCTCCCTTAGGTCAGGGCACTCTCGGCAGGCCACCGATGCCATCCTCCAGGACAGTGTTTGCTGAGAGACAGGAGTCAGTGTGGGGGGGACCACAAATGTCAGGATCGGGGGTGGGGAGAGGGTTCCTCAGCGGGCCCTTCTCTGATATCTTGGGAGCAGAAGCTTCTCGTGCCCGGCCTGAGGGCCTCTGCCTGGCTGCCCTGGCTTAGGGACAGGGCCGAGGAGGGCGGCCAGCAGCCTCCAATCCCTCCCCAGCCCACCCCCAGCTCACCCTGGCACACACAGTTTGTCTTGGCTTCTTCCTTCCTGCCCTGGGGTTTCTGCACCAGAGCCGTGGGCCAGGCCTTGGCTATGAGCTCCTTTCCCTCGGCCGTCTCACCACAGACACCCCCCCGGCACCCCTCAGGCGACATTGGCCGGGAGCCATGTCCGCTCAGGGTTCCACTCCCTCATGTGCCCCTTGGCCTGCAGGGGAGCTCTTCTTCGACATTGACAGCGGGAGGAACGCACCCCTGCATTCTCCACCCTCAGAGCACTACACCATCATCTTCAACACCTTCGTCATGATGCAGCTCTTCAACGAGATCAATGCCCGCAAGATCCACGGTGAGCGAAACGTCTTCCATGGCATCTTCAGCAACCCCATCTTCTGCACCATCGTCCTGGGCACCTTTGCAATTCAGGTAGGAGTGCTGACCCCACTCTTACAACAGTTGGGGAGGCAGGGGACCGTGCCCCGCCCCCGCTAGTGGCCTGCCTGTCCCGCTCAGAGGCGGCTCTGCCCCTCCTGCTTTCCCAGCCCCTGCTGGCATTCCCTGTGACCTGTGTCCTCTGTCCCCATCTTCAAAACATCATGGCGTTGCCCTGGCTTCACCTGCTGGGTTCCAGAGAGCCTTAGTGTGCCTTACTGAGAACGAACCTCCTCATAGTTCCCTCTGAGTCCCATTTCCAGCACTTGATTCCCTGGTGGGAAGCCACCAGAACTCCAGAAGGTTCCTTTGGACAAGTTTTCTATCCCCAGTGCTGACAAACCGGCCTCTGCCTGCCACCATGCTGTGGACAGGCTGGTCAGTGAACTCTTCAGGAGAGGCTGAGCATTCAAAACTAGGGTGTATTGATAGAAAATATGACGTATAGTGACGGCAACAGGCCAAGATAGTTTCTCCTCCCAGTTCTCGAAGGAGGGACCTGCCACGCCTCGGGGGGACCAACCAGGGAAGCCTCTGGGGCAGTCAGGAGACAGAGGGGGAGCAGGGAGCCCTTACTGTGGTTTCTGGGGGAGAAACTGAGGGGGGGGCGGTGAGCTGGCTGAGGATTCACTAGTATGAGTAATTTCAGGGTTCTGGGGGACATAGGACTGTCTCTGGTTGTCTGGGTCCTGGCCCTGGGTGGTTAAGGCGGGGGCAGTGGCCTGGAAAGGAGAGCACGGTAACGGGGGTGGTTGGCCTGTATGGACAAAGCTCACCCCAGGGAGGGAGGTTCTTCCCTAGGAAGGGGCAACAAGCCAGCAGGAGGCCCAGGCAAGGCGCGTCGGGCATGTCGCTGGGGCGTCCAGCACAGACACGCCAGGCAGCTGTTAAAGCATTAAGTTGACAGAAGCTGGAAATGTGGACCCTGAGGGCTGGAGGAGGGGCCTCAGTAGCTGTGCCTGCCTCCTTCCCACCGCACCCCTGCAGATCGTCATCGTGCAGTTCGGCGGAAAGCCCTTCAGCTGCTCCCCCCTGTCCACGGAGCAGTGGCTCTGGTGCCTGTTCGTTGGCGTTGGGGAGCTGGTCTGGGGACAGGTGAGTGGCTGCCTGGTCACCGTCCGCGGCCCCACCCCTTAGCTGTCTCCTCTACAGCAGCACCAGAGATGGGCATGAGGTGGGGGGATCGGGGCGCGTCAGGGCTCAGGCCTGGGCCATGTCACCACTCAGGTGACAGTGTCAGCAGAGAAAAGACAAAGGGCCATGGCTGGGATGTCACGAAGCCCCAGCAAAATCACCCAGCACTCCCCTTTTCATGATAGGAGCCAAAAATCATCCCCTAAAACGGGGTGGCTTAGAGACTCCCCATATAGCTAAAACTGAACAACACCCTGCTAAATCCTCCAAGGGGCAAAGAGAAAGCGTGAAGGAAAATGAAGACATACTTTGAGATGATAGAAAGCGGAAGTCGGACCCTTCGAGGCCTTGGCAGTTAAAGCCACGTGCAGAGGGAGGCTTGTGGCACCCAAAGATTATGTTAGGAGGAAACAGCCCAAGCCATAGGCACACAAGAGGCTTCTGAAAGCATTGCTCTGCAGTTCTAGAACATTGCTGTAGGAGGCCAAGTCCAGGATCCACTTTGCCCTGTGTCTCAGTCACCTGAGACCCAACAAAGTACCACAGACTGGGGGGCTTAAACAGCAGGTGTTATTCTCTCACACTCTGGAAGCTGGAAGTCCAAGACTGAGCCTACGCAGGACCAGGCCCGGGGGAGACCAGGCGTGAGCTTCCCGGTCCCTGGCCGGCGGAGGGGTGCGGCAGTGCCGTTTCTCCCGCAGCCTTGTGTGACAACCCGCACCGGGCACGGCCACCAGGGAAGCCTCCCTGAGCGGCGCTGTCCGGGGACTTCAGTGCGGGGTCGGTCCCGTGGGCCTGGAGCTCCCGCGGGGCTGAGCTCGGAAACTCAGTCTCTGCACCTGCACCGCCCCCCCC